GAATTTAGCAGTCGATGTGGTAGCTAATAGAAAAACAAGCACTTTGCTTGAGTAAATATAACATTTGAATATCTGATTCATCGAATCTAAGTTGACAAATATAAATATAAACATAATTTGACATTATATATATATATGTATATATATCCGCGTTCGGCTGACCACCTGACCGGAACATCTGCTCCTGCACCCCAGAGCCCAAGGATGACGTAGATTCTTTGCAATGCGGCGGTGAATTACGACCAGAGAGTGATACCTTTCCACCGCGAGCTGTTTTATGGTACGGCATGACTTGAAAAAACAAAATGGCGGGCTCAAAATCCAGACATCAAAATGGTCAGTTGTCAGTATTGTCTCTCCCGACTGAGGAACCTGACGAGATCAAAATCTGTATCACTCACCCTGTAACGTTCAGGATAATTCAGCTTGACCGGCATCGCAAGGAAGAAGAGGACATCAGTAGAGCATGACCAGCATGACATCACCGTCGAATATGACCATAACCTGACATCCCAGTGCCTTTTAGCCCCATCGCAAGTCTGATTAGCGAGAGAACCTCAATCAATGCTAGCTCATTGTGTAACAAATTAATTATTTTTATTCTGAAATAAGTAGTGGTGAATTAAATTAATCTAACTATTGCTACCTCGCCAACTGATAATACGTTAAAGAAATAATTTGGTTACCAGTTTTATTCTTTTAACCGCGTTTGTCTCTCGTTTCAGTTCACGACTACTAATAAAATTGTTTTTTAAAATCTTCAAATGTATGGGTATGGTTGTAATTCATTAGTTACTGCATAGTGCTCTCTTTAAAACCCTTTAATGGGCATTTATTTCTGGTAGAGGTAAATGAAAGTATTTTTGAAGTTAAAATTGTTTTAAGAATAGTAATTGATATAAGAAAAAAAAACTCATTTGGTTTATAGAAATGCCAGTTTTTTGGTGATAAATATATTTAACATGACCTATTAGGAACGTATTGACTTTTATATTTCTTTATTTATAAAATAAATTTTATAAATGCTACAAACTTCAAAAGGAATTATGTATTTCATAACTTTTATACGATTTTTAAACAAATAAATGGTTACCAATTTTATTCAAACGCACTTCAAGAAGGCTGAAGTTATTAATAAATAGAAACCTAAATTAAAAGTGGTAAAAAAACTGGTGGTAAGTATACTTCCTACGGACTTCGAAAGCGTTAAGAGACTTTTAAAAGACTCTTTTAAGAGTTGGCATATTCACAAGTTTATCATACTCTATTTAAAGAGTAGTTCGACATTACTGTTCAGTGTCCACTACTAAATGCATGGTCACTGTGGCAGGGTAGACATTTGACTTAGAAGAAAGCAAACCTCTGTAAATACTTGAAATTATAGCGAAATTGAGTTAAATAAGTAAATATGAAAGTATTCTATGGACCAAAACATTTTAGCTATTCAAAAAAACTTAATTATTGTTAAAATATGCTTCCCCACGGATCCTACAAATTAATTATGATGTTAGGTTATTAATTAGGTTATTAATACTTTTCGTAAAGGTCCCTCTTTTCATATCTCAGTTTAGCGCTAAGTTAACAGACCGCTCAGAGTTCTCATACAGAGATATNGCACCCCAGAGCCCAAGGTCAGGAAAACTGAGATGGGCACAGTAAGCCTTGGCCCTCCATGGGCTGTCGTGCCGCTGAGTTTATGTATATATACATGCTTCAAAGGTGTATTTGAAATTATTGATGGTTTAGGATGGTACCATTTTTCAAACATCTAATAATTAGCAGCACTCTCACATTTATGAATCTATTAAAAATTTAAAGTTTGTATTTCGTTTCGTTTATGTTCTTAATAAAATTCGAATATTTAATCATTGTCTTTTTTTAATATCTACATTTTCTTTTCTTTATGAAAACTGTTTTTACAGCATGATCTGGATATTTATCATATTTTGCGACACACAGAAATGGTTGGATGTTTTTGCCTTATTTGTGTAACCTTTTCCCAACATTTTCTATTTTTACTTATTTCTGTCTTCTTTTCAATCCTATATATCTAAATTTGACCGCTATCCTATTCCTATTTGAATTACTGATCTTAGTTAACCCCCACTAGAGGCTCTAACTAATTCATTTGAGTATGAAATGATGTATGAAAATGAAGCATGATGTATGAAAATCGCCGAAGCGCAATTGAGTGAGGAAAAGGAGAGCAGTAACTTATAAATTAAGCGCAATTTAAGTGAAATTAGAGTGTGATCTTTAGAAAATTTGCAATTATTTGCAATTATTTACAGTATTTGCGTGACAGTACCCCATCAGATAAGAAGGCGGTTGCCGGGCTATACTTTATGTTATCGTGTATCAAGTCAAAATCGAAGTTCTTATAGTAGTTGCACTTATCATAGGATAGTGCAGAAGGTCGCACATACTTCAAAATTCGACCCTTTTTACCTAACGTGCTTTTAAATAATTTATTTAAGAAACAAACTGTTAACACAAGCGTCTTTTTCCAACACATATTTTGGAAGATTTCACATTGCAAAAGTGTTTGCACAGTTTGAAAGATCATGCTTGAAGCCTTTAGAAAGGATGTCATTTTCTTCGATGATTTGACTCGCCCGTCTTAAAGAGTTTAAATCAAAGTATTGATAATAATATCACCAATATATTATATTAATGATAAAATCACCAATATTTTGATTTAAAAATTAGGAACATATATAGTTTGTTTTACCAAGATTTTCAGTATTATACTAAAATAGTACTAAAAATATATCAAGATATAATATTATTGAGTAATTTGTCTTTATCGTTTTAAATATACTCATGCTCTGAAGTCTCGTACTTGGTCTTCCTTGTTCGTTTAAAAAGAGAAGAAAAAAAAATCACCACATATAATCGCGCTCTTTACTACATTTTAACATTTTATTTCCATTAGATTTAATGGAAATAAACTGTTTGTTTTATTTTAAATTACCTAAGTGAATCGGAAAAAATATTCTTTGAAATTATATACTACAAACGTTTCTGTAAAAAGGCTTGCACAGAAAGCAAAAATTGTTCATTTTGTAACTGTAATTTCATAGCTTTCAAAATTAGGTAATATAGTTTCATTATCTATTTCGTCTTCTAAAAGTAAACATCATTTGTAGGAGAACAATTCAAAAAAGAAACATTATTTGCTAACAAAATCGCTAGATGAATAGATTTCGTGCAGATAAAGAAAGAACTCTCGCGTGCAATTTCTTTTCTTTCTTGGAGGGAAACCCAATTCTTGTGTCTTTTAATCATAATTATTGAAAAAAAAATCTAACTATAATAATAGAATTGTCAATGAAAAATCGGTTTATAATTTAGATGATTGTGTCATTACCAAAATCTCTACCTAATTTGTAACGAACAAGAAAGTAATGATTTTTTAATACCAATAACACTAAGTATTTTGAGGAAATTTAAAAGTTAGCATTAGACTACTCTTTGCAAGTTTTACTTTGTGTTCCGGTGATTTTATTGCTTCTTAAGGATATTATAGATTTTGAATATGGTTATGATCACGATTCAAGGAGTTATACTGTAGAATATTTTACTAAATCATTGTATGTGTTTTTAGAACTGTTCCGTTTGGTTGCATTGTAGTGGTTGCATTCCTTTGGTTGCTTTATTTTGTGACTTCAAACTTACGTGAAAGAACGTTTAAAATTGCTGAAGGCAGCATCTGATTTTGAATTTCAAACAGTTAGAAAGTGAACAAAACATAGAGTTATATTAAAATTATTAATCAAATAGCTGATGGTAATAATGATATCAGACTCATAAAAAGTACTTGAAAATTGCTAAACTTCTAACCACTACAATTTTTAGCATACATAAAAAAAACTTGTAAATTCTGTGCTGGTTCAGGAAATTTCAGCAAAAATTTCTCCTTTACTTACAGTTTTCCAATCTACCACAACACTGATTTTATTATCATGAGCACAATGCAAGTCAAAGCGCTCATGACTTTTGTAGACCTATGGATCTGATAATAACTGAATAACTGAATTGTAAATAATTGATAGTAATTACGATCTCTGACTTACAAAAGAATTTCTGAAAAACTGAAATGTGGCAAAGAATTTAAGAAAGTTTCAATTTCTGATGTATTAGAAAAATTTGTCAATTCACTGTTGATTTTGGAAATCAATAAATTTTAAAAAAAAATTTTCATTCTCTACAGTATGCAGTTTTCTTATCTATTGCAAAACTGTTTTCGCTATACTGGGAAGAATAAAGGTCAAAATCACCTTTCCACAATCTTTAAAGGATTAAAAACTTCACGGAATCGCAAACAAGTAAAAACATTTCATCTAAAATATAAAAAATAGAATTGCCGTATGAGAAAGTCTTTAGAACATATAGACATGTCACACGTCACATTTTTGAAGTTGATTAAAATTCAATTCTCTGGATTGATGACTGTGATAAGCAATAGAGCTGCCTATCTTCTCTAAGACAAAACAAAGGGAACGAGTTGAAGCATTTAAAACATTAATATAGAAAAAAAATCACGGATAAGACTAGAATATCTTCAAACGATTTGGATACATCTTGTATGAAGCTTTTAAAACCTTTTTTGAAGTTAATATATGCATAAATTAATATATGCATGTGGAACTCTAAACTCAAACTCAGTGACACGACAGCCCACTCTATGTGTAACTCAGTGTATCTATGTAGATTCTCTGAATTGATTGGTGTCGTCTGAATATAGCTTTTTTGTGACAAACGAAACAAAGTAAGACAAAGCAAAGAAGTAAAAATATCTCGTCTATAAGTACAGAAATAGAAGGAAGCTAGGACATCTATAGAACGTATGATTATGTTACGCGTAAAGTTTTGAAAGCATTTTTAAAGTTATTTATATTAATTACAATTTCAAATACTTTAAAGATACTACTTCTTCAGTGTATTTTCGCAACAACAAAAATATTATGAAGTTTCCAAAACACATAACTGTGTCTACAATGCCTCTTAATAACGTCATCGAAGTCAAAACTGATCAAAATGGTCATATCAGGCTTACTGGTGGCACTGATGCGGCAGTGTTAAACATACTTTCGAAGGTTTTAGACTTCCAGTTTAACTTAAGCATTCCCGAAGACAAAGAATGGGGTCGTTTGGCCGCGGATGGACACTGGACAGGTATGGTTGGCATGGTTATGAGAAGCGAGGCTGATCTCGCAATATCCTTGATAAGCAAAGATGGAGAGCGCGAAAGCGTTATTGATTTTTGTGAGCCAATTCTATACAATGAGTTAACTTTCGTTACGCATTTGCCAAGAACTCGGAATAGAACGTTAGCATTTATTTATCCTTTTGATTATATCACCTGGATATGTTTGGCATGTGCTATTGTTTTTATGCCTTTTCTGTTTCAGTTAATTTATCAAAAAACAAAACTTTATTCAGATTTGTTTTTAGGCGTTTATGCCAGTTTAGTTCGACAAGGTGTAAATGAAAACATATTTGGCGGTAGATTGCTTACTTGCTTCTGGTGGTTGGCGGCGATGATAATATCATTTAGTTACACAAGCGTGCTGTTTTCATTTTTAGCAGTTCCACTTGTCGATCAGCCTGTACGGTCATTTCGTGAACTTGCTATGGCCGTTGAAGTTGGCCGATATAAGGCGCTGGTCAATCGTGGTACTCTACTTATACCAGTATTTAAGAGCAGTCAGAAAGAGGATTTAATAAAAATTGCCGAAGTGATGGAAAAAAATGACTGGTTCGTAAATATTATTGATTACTTGAGCGAAAAATATTTTGATGGTAAAACAGCCTTTATTGGACCGAGATCTCTGTTTCAATTTAGGTTTGGAAAAGCACCATTGACAACAAAGTATATCTCTGAGGATACTGCTATTACTATTGATTCTAGTATAATAACTGGTAAAAAGTTTTGTTGTAAGAAGGCGATTGATCTTACAATTCTTCGCATGAAAAAGACAGGTATACTACTGAAAATAACGAACGACCAACTGTTTAAATCGTGGCTACATGAAACAAGCAAAAAACGCGCATCTTCAACAGAGCATAGCATTTCCTTAAATGATATTATTGGTCCGGTTGCTTTACTTTCAATCGGTATTGGTTTATCAATAGTCATTCTATTTGCAGAAATAATTTGTAAGAAGACCTTTGGCTAAAAAAAGATATATTAATGTTAATCTTTTTTAATAAGTTCTTAGCTTAATTATTATGTTTTTAGTAGCACTATCACATATAGCGTTGTAATTACTATAGTCNTATTATTTTTTAAGACTATATATTTTTATTTGCCTTATGCCTACTTTTTTTTCTTACGGTATTTCTCAGAATACTGAAAAAAAACATTTACTATAATAGGGTTGTACTTTTGAAACCAAAATCACGTGATAATGTTACGGACTGGTTCCTTTCTGTTCTGCCAGTCGTGATAGTTTTCGAGACTGGCTAGCATTCGCGAGGTCTTTACGCGATGATTCTGGAATCCTAGAATAGTGTAAATAATTTACTTTTCTTTTATCCTCAATTGTTTCCATTACTATGTATCAAATGGCGATTTTATTGTTATGTATAACCCAGACTAGAATTATGGTTTTCAACTATTGTACATACTGAGATTTAACTTACTGTTAACGCAGCAACCCCCTTCCCATCCTCCAATTTATTTTTCTATTGCGATGAAAGAGCAGATATCCAACACTGGATAAATACTCTGATAAAACTTGAATAGTTAGTTAGTGGAGTTAGTTAGTCAGACTTAGAGTTATCTCTGCCGCTTGTCTTTCGGAGCTTGTCGCTAAATCTGTTTTGTCTTAACAAAAAGTTCATTCAATCGCCGAACCCGTCGTCGTCACTATTTCGACTTGTGAAGAAATCAGTAACAATAACATTGGTGATACTGTGCTGTGCTCGTTGAAGTTATTCATTCCAGCTCGAAACTTTGAGATCGTAACATAGCGGATATTTCTGCACCAATATATTACTTTGAGAAAAAATCACGATTTGAAATTAGTGAGGTGACAGCATCTAGTACTGATGTAAGTTTTTCTGTTGTACGGAAATGTGATACTTCCGTTGAAGAAAACGTTTCTAGCATAACAAAATCTGATGAATGTGAAAGTGGCCCTCAAAGTGTTACTTCCCACCCATATGACTTTTTTCAGAAAATATTACATTATGTTCTGAAATTTAAAAAATCAAATCAAAATTTAATTAAACAATGTTGTCTAAATAAAAAGTCAAAATTGTCTAGCTGTCTAAATTAGGGAAATAATAGTGCTTTATTACATACTCGAATTTGTTTTAGTAGTTCCAGAAAATTATGAACACCCCCCTTGAAAAAATTCTGTCTATGCCACTGAATGGCAGACGATAAGAAAACTAAAGCTTACAGAATTTGTGGTAATTTTGCCAACATTTTAAAAGCCTTACTACGCGAGGTTTTGAACAAATTTTGAATTAAAGTAGTCTTTTTATAAAAGTTTTCGAATCAATTGGAAGTAATGGTGCGAAAAATCAAATTTACAAAAATCAAATTAAATATTTTGAATCAAATTTTCAAAAGAAAACTAAACTTTAACACATTAAAACATAAACTTAGCTTCCAGCAAATAAAAGACATTTTTTTGAAAAAGCATAGAAAGTTGGCAGGCTTAGATAGTTTAGTGTAAATGAAATGACACACTTAAGCGTGTTGGAAGAATAGTGGTTGCTAAACGTTTAAAAACAGTTCGTTTTACATTTCTGGTGGTTTGTAGCATTTTTTATTGCAAAACTGCTTGCACTGCACCAGAAACATAAATTTTAAAACCTGCAAACTTTTTTTTGGTGATTTTATCAAAATTTAAAGTTATGAAACTCTGTAGTATACAACATTTTATATTTCTGTTTAAATTATTTATGTCTCCTACTGGAGGAAACCCTTTTTACTCTAATTCAACTTATTCTTTTCTCTCTATTATAAAAAAATGTTATAAATTCTTACCACCAAAAATATTTTCTGATCAGGGCAAATTCCTTAGTAGACAAAAGATATGCATCAGCGAAAGTTTATAAATGCTTGATTTAATTTACCATGGGTTGTATGTATATGGAAAAATTTAAGAACTCGTATCAGTTTTATAATAAGCAACTGCAACAGAGCTTGTAATAAAGCAATAACAATTCGCTTTATAATTAAGAATTCAAATTCTTTACTTTTAAATCTATAAAATTTTATTTAGAATTTTTAAACTACTCTGCACATTTTGCAATTTATCTTTTAATATTACTATCTCTTTTTATTTTTTTAAAGTGCATGTGATTCCTCGTTAAGCTCAATATTATTTACAATTTAAAAATCTTTTTATCGAAATATTTATAATTGAAGCCCCATATTTTGCTTAATGACAAATATTTCCATGAGAAGCATATAATTTCTGGCAAAAAATTTGAATTCTAAAAATAATTTAGTATTTTTTTACACAAAATTTGAAACATTAGTACTATTAAATTTATAATGCTACAGGAGAATTAGGAAGATTTTATATGAAAGAAAAATTAAAAAACGTTTTATATGGAAAAAAATTCAAAAATGTTTTACATGAAAATCACCATAAAATTGATAAAATACACTTAGAATGTTATCTCCTTAAATTATGCACTTTATCTTTAAATTTCTAGCGATTTTTGCGATAATTATTACTTCGACTATTATGCACTTATTAATCCAATAATTCAAATTCTTTACATTCATAAATTATTTTAACAAAAAAGTCATCTTTTTAAAAAATAAACTCACTAAGGTCAAGCCTCTCAAAGTAGTCGACCTACAGAAGACATAGGCTCCAAATGCTACGGATTCTCCGTAGTTTCATAAAATATTTTTCCTAGTGGTAGCAAGAGTAATGTATTTTAATTTTTATAAATTAGATATAAAAGAATTTTGCTCACCACTAAACATATATGATCGTATAGGAGAATGCATAGCTTCTTGAATAGCTTCTAACTTTTTTCCCTCTCATGTGGACAATAAATTCACAGCCATCTTTATTATAGCAAGTTGCTTGCAATTATTTTGACTTTTCTTATCAGTTAAGAAAGCAAGGTGCTTGCTCTACAATATCAGTCACCCCAGAGACTCTGTATACAAACTGTTTATACAGGGTGTCCCAAAACGACCGTATAAACTCTGCACAGCTAGATTCCTCGTTGGAAGTGCATAAAAACTCCCCAGAGAAGAGTTCCTATACGATCCATAGTTTACGAGAAAAATGCGAAAAACAAAGTATGACGTCACTGCCGTTGCAAGGAAAAAAAAACACTTTATTGGACATCCTGCCTGGACATGCACTTTGAACATCTGCTTTAAATTGTGCATAGTATACTGCTGTTGATATGTTCAATAAAGTGTTTTTCCTTGCACCAGCAGTGACGTCATACTTTGTTTTTCGTATTTTTCTCGTAAACTATGGATCGTACAGGAACGCTTCTTTTTTGTAGTTTTTATGTACTCCCAACGAGGAATCTAGCTGTGCAAAGTTTATGCGGTCGTTTTGGGACACCCTGTATTTTTCAAATTTGTCTTTAGTTTCAAGATGAATGGGATATGGGTCTTCTGCGCGGCCCAAGTGCCCAGCTTTTGTTAAATAAAGAAAGTAAGTCTAATATTTTTTCAAATTGTTTTCTAATTGGTTTTTGTTTCAAAAAATTTTGCTATAGTTCTCTACCACATAAAACAAGTTGTAACATGCTCAAATAATCAGAGTCGCTGTATAAGAATAACGTGACACAATACACTTGTTCATGCCAAGTATAAATTTATTACCGTTATTTACCACTTTACCTTCAAAAAAGCACCAAGGTTATTTTATGAATTATTTTACATAAATGTCGCGAAATTATTGCATCGAAATCATTGTAATTGACTGTCACGAAATAATTCCAAATTCGATGATTTTTACGGATTTCCATGATTGTTTCATACGTTATTTTATAACACATATTATTATGTTTTACGTCATTTTGCACCACATTTCATTGTTGTTTTGTTATTTTACACCACATATTATTGTTTTATACGTTATTTAACTCATCGTAATGTTACCTAAATCCCGACATTTTTAGAAAATTGAAACTGAAACTGAATTGAAATTGAATTGAAACCATGCATGAAATTGCATTGTTACTACTACTTTTTGCTTTTTGAAATTATACCAAAAGAGTAGTCCGAAATAAAAATTATTTCAGATACAAATGAGTTGACATTATTGAGGCATAAAAGAATTTTATTTAAGAGTTATAAATAAAAGATTATTATATATATATTGCAGTAAAAAAAACAATTTTCCTGCACTTGAATTCATGCAGATTAGAAACAGTTTTTCTAAATAAATTAGGTATTAAGTTCCGATCCAAGTTCAATTATATAATATAATGTTTATTATTGATTTTCCGTTTCACTATCACTTGGTTTCGGCAGTCGTTGCAAGATACCCTTATTTCCATCCAACAGCACGTAATCACCTATTTCAAAAACAAACAAAAAGAAAATATAATCAGTAACTCGCATGTATTAACTAAGGAATTAATGCTACATATTGTAACTCGGGTATTAACGCGACCTCAAAGTAACGCTATGTNTTTATTTACATCCAGATTCTGATTTTGTACGAATGCTTTTAAGAATCACCCGTCCCCAAGGGGTTAATGGAAAAAGTGTTAGTATTTATTTGTTTGTACTAAGTGGATATTTCTTTCCATTAACTATCTTGTGAGATTCAAAAAATCATTGTGATGAGACTTTATAATCAGACTCTTGACTTTAGATTCTCCTATACTGTTTATGAAAAAATAAATCTTTATAATGAAGCATTAGTGCAAATACTTGTTATTTTTTGAGAAAAGATACCGTCTCTCTAAAAGAACAGCTAAGCACCAATGGATTTATATAAAATGTGAATAAGTTTCTTACATATTGTAATCAATAAATCCTGCGGTCTCTCAAATATATAATAATGGTAAGTAAATTTTTGACATAAAATATATTTCATGTTCCTTGAAATGTTAATATTTAACGTTGCTGATCACCACAATAGTTTGATAATTCAAACACATATATAGAGTTGCGTAATAGATCTAAAGAAAATTTATAACATTTAAACTCATTTTCCCTGAACTGATGGTTAGTTAATTTCAGTTAAAGTTGAAAATTAATTATACAAAAAGTATTTATTTAAATTGTCTTAGGTTATTTCAAGTAATAATTTAAGTAGTGTTGAATACTTAATTACACGTTAAGCATTCATTTACAATAATTCTGTTTTCTTTTTACAGAAATAAAAGCTTAATTATGAAGAAATTATTTAGATTTATTTTCTACCTTTTCTGAAATTGCTGTAGAAATTTTAATCATAAAAGGAGCGCTATGACGATACATACTGTTATACCAACTATTGAAGAAGGAACTTGCCTTTTTAGGAGCATAAATATTATGCGATACGATAAGTTAATGACTCGAAAGGTGCGCGAGGAAGTAGTACAGCACACAATGGAAAATTAGAACATATTTTTTTCATTTTATCTTATTACGAAGATGGAAATAATTTTAATACTCTTACTGCCACCTAGGCTGAAATATCCTGAAGTCATAGTTGTGATGGTTTGCATGATTTTATGGTGGCAAGACAGATTTTAAATTATTACTAAAATTTAATATCTAGAGAAATTTCACTATATCGTGCACATCTCTTGAAAATAGTTAAAATTGAAGTCAATGAACACCCGCTCTGGCAAAGCCCCAACCAGCAACTAAACGGTGAAAAAAATTGATTAGTTTATTCTTTAAAACAGATTAAGTTTTCGGGAAGGAGTAACAGAATTAGAATCTTTAAAGACAGTTTCGCTGTGCATTCTTCTTAGTTAACTTTAAAGTTAATATGTTGCATAGAATAGTTTTGAAAGATAACAAAGCTGGTCACCAAAGGCAGCTAGAAGAAATTGGCCAATGGCCGATACAGTCTACAATGGCTGATAGTTTCATTCTGCGTGTGCATACGATAACCAAACTGTTTATGACACTTCTGGGTTAAGAATTTTGATTAAATTATGTTGTCCTTTACAGCGATTAAGAACTTATATTAACAAAATTACATAAAAGATTTCTTGTCATTAAAATCTGGTGTATATTAGACAAAATAAACTAATTAGAGAAGTTGTCCTACATTGTCGTATCATCAGCCTAATAATTTTTAGGCTTATTTCAATGAGCTCATACATTTAGTCTGTTTGGAAAATAAATCATTCACTGCTCAATTAGTCTGATTTATTAAGGCAGTTTGCAATAAACCCAGGGTAGAGGAGGTTTATTATGAATAGCATTTAAGTCTTGTTGCGATATACCTTAGTTCAGTCTGATTGAATAATTCTCCAGATATTTTCTTACTAGCCTAAATTACTTATTAAGCTGATTGTAATGAACCTAATAAATATTCTGCATATTATAAAATGTTGAGGACTTTTCTAATTATTCTCGCACATTGCAAAATTGGCCAATGACATTGGCCAATTTTAAAAAAGAAATGGTTTTAGATATTAAACTAACTAGATCTTAAACTAACTTAGATATTTTATGCTAAGTAAAAATAGAACAAAACTTGAAATAAATGTGGTTAACATATAGTTTAGGTTTTTACGCAATGACTTTATTCAGTAGTGTGCTTATAATAACAAAGAAAAAATTCAGACTCATTAAAAAATATTAAACTCTTTATTGGAAATAAATAACAAAACAAAAGCTTCTAATCTGTTTATAAGGCATCAAGTTGTCTTTCTAAAATGTGAACGTAAGGTCATTTTTGTGACATTTGCAATTTGGTTTTTAACAAACTATTTCTTTTGAAATAAAATACCCCAAATAATAATAATAATAAGTTTCTAATAGCTGATTACATTAAGAAAAAATTTTAACATATTCACTATTTTGGAATAGTACAAGAAAATTTAATATTGCAATTGATGTAAAAATATTTGTACTAAAAAGTGGTAGTAATTATAGGTTTAAAACAAATCAGTATAAAATTTTACATTAAAAAAGTACTGAGCTTTATAGTTCTGTAAAGCTCAGTGCTTTTTAAATGTTTTTTCTAATATGGGAGACATTATATAATTAATATAAAAATTTGAAATTATTGATACGCTATGACGAACACAACTATGTGCTTCCTTAAAAAATAAATACTGTAAACAAAACATTTTTTCTACCACTTTTTGTTTTTTGAAATTATACCTTCTTTTAACGAAGAAAAGAGTAGTCCCAAATAAAATGATTTCAGACACAAAAGAGTTGACATTACTGAGGCATAAAAGAATTTCATTTAGGAGTTATAAATAAGAGATTATTAAACATATATTGGAGTAAAAAAACAATTTTCCTGCACTTGAATGCATACAGATTAGAAACAATTTTACTAAATAAATTAGGTATAGTTTTCGATCCAAGTTCAATTATATAAAATAATGTTTATTATTGATTTTCCGTTTCACTATCACTTGGTTTCGGCAGTCGTTGCAAGATACCCTTATTTCCATCCAACAGCACGTAATCACCTATTTCAAAAACAAACAAAAAGATAAAATAATCAGTAACTCACATGTATTAACTAAGGAATTAATGCTACATATCGTAACTCGGGTATTAACGCTACCTCAAAGTAACGCTAAGTAACTCACCTATATAATGTACAACATGCTGTGTATAATATAGATCAAGGGTTTCCAACTTGCATGAGGCCGGGGACCTCAATTAAAAACAGCAGTTAAATGGTGGGCCGCAACTTTATCAAAATTTTATGTAGGAATTAACTCTTTTAAGTTTGAAGGAACATTAAATATTACTGTCAGACATTTATCAAGTTGTACAAAACAAAAGTATTGAATTACAAATCAAAATACGTAGTAGATTTTTACCCGAGAAATAAATTTTTTTCCACCGTTGGTACGTTAAATTTCACAGAAACGAAGAAATTAGGCTTTTTTTAACGAAAGAAAAGTATTTTAAATCCATAAAGATATTTTACGAAAATTGTCCGCAAAATAATAACAACTAATATATTTTTGTACGCTGTCCGCCTGTTTGTAACCACTCATATAGATGATCATTAACCCATTAACGTCGAGTTTCTACACACACACACGCACATATATAT